CCCCTCCACCACCACCACCCCAAACAACAGAAAACAAACTCGGCAGAGGAGAGGTGGGTGTGCAGGCTAAATGCAGCTTTAAATTAATAACAATGTCAAATTTGAGTCTCTTTTGTTTGCAGAAATTTAAAAATCTGAACACGTTTCTTTCATTCAGGTTGCACACACATGAGAAAGGTTTCAGGCCAGGGGGGTCCAAACATTTTGTCACGTGGGCCAAAATCATAAAGTCAGAAGAACCTGAGGGCCAAAAATATGTTTCCTTTACCTGCTCAACAAWAAACTAAGCATTGAATACTTTAATTAAACAAATAAAGTAGTCAGATTTATTGCTGGAAATGGATGTGTAAATTAATCTAGATCCAGAACTTTGAAAGTGTTTTGCAGGATTCCCTTATTGAAAGAAAGTTTGCAATTTTCTAGGTTTCACTTGGAGAAAAAAAAAACCCAATTTAGTCAATTCTGATTAATAAAATCAGGATTTAGGTCACCCTTTCATTGAAAATGCCTGCTGTATTCAGACAAATTTAATAAATAAATTAAAAGCAGATTGAAGTGCAGCAAAATCAGCTTTTCAGTAGAAGTCACTAGATAGATGTGGAAAAAGCTACGAGTCTGGTTATTTAAAGACAAATAWTTGGTATTGTTGCCAATAGTTTTTATTGTAAGATTTTACTTTGTGATAAATTTGCCCTAATAGTAAATAGAAAGTCTCCATCTACATCAAACAGCTGTGCCGGGAGGATAAATTTGTGAACAAATTAGTATAACTCTTGAACTGAAGTCAGGGGCCACACAAAATCAGTTCAGGAGCCACACATGGCCCCCAGGCCACACTTTGCACGTCCCTGTTTTAGGCCCTAAAAGCCCCCCGCTCAGAGTGGTGGAGCAGAAAGGTGTTGGTTGTTCTTTCAGGTTGTAAATAAACAAACAGAACAACGCTGTGTTTTTGCAGACCTGTTTTTCTTCCTGAGGAATGAAATGTCTGAAAACGTCCAACATGCTGTGTTTTATCTGAGGCTTTTCACAGAGGAAGATAAATCACACTCACTGATGGAGAAAAGCTGTTTGTGTGCAGCAGAAGTCAAAGCGTCCACACGTCTTCATCTGAGCAGCCTCCTGTTAAATAAAAGACATTTCCTCTCTCTGCACATGCAGTAAACTTAGATATTTGATGGGCAGGACTGATATTTTTTGGTAAATGGCTCCCAGTGGTGGATTCCAGCATGTTCCCATCGTTTTACAACAGCAGGCTGATGTTTTAGCAGAGCGTTCAGGGTTTTTATATATGACGACTCAGCTTTTATCTTTATGGTTGTGTTAAAGCTGGAGCCAATATATTTTAGAGTTAACTTCCCTTTTTCATATTTCTGACTGTAGCCTTTCACTTTACAAGATAAAATGCCCACTGAAAGCTGACACATCTCTCAACTTCTAAACCATGTTGTATAGATTTACGACAGGGGTTCTCAAATCATTTGGTTCTGGGGACCACTTACAATGGTGAAACAAATTGGACCCCCTCATAAACCCCCATGGTGTTTTAAAATAATTTATTGTTTCAACCCCTAAATGCCATGGGAATATATATTTTTATTTAGTTTACGTTTAATGTTTTCGGTCACGTATGTCTGTCGGTCTGTAGTTCTGTCGTTCTGTCTGTGGACAACATTACTCAAAAACTTGTGGACGGATTGTCATGACATTTTTACCACGTGTGTACTGGCTCAAGTAACACACCTTTAAATTTTGTTGATGTTCTGGATCACGATGCGGATACAGGAATTTTTTTCTTTAACACGCTGAGATCGGCAAAGCTGTGATGCTTTCACAGGGCGTGGGTTTCAAAGTGTCCAGCAGATGGRACTGTAGTATTGGTGTGCCCATTTGTAACTATTACAGGATGGGGGAAATTGGTCTTGGCGGAGGTTTGCACTCTCCGAGTGCTTCTAGTTTTGAATGAAACGGCTCTCCATATATAAGAACTTCTGCTTTAGAAAATGTTTATTTTAACATCAGATTTTTGTGACGTTTTTGAGTTTCATGAAAAACAAAAGTTTCTAATCTTGAGCAAACATCATTTTTTAATTTCTTGTTGAAAACAGCTAAAGCTCTGCCAAACAGGAAGGTGTTTCTGGGTAAAATGTGTGTTAGAGACACGCAGAGAAACAAGATGGTTTCTTCCCCCTGGGGTTCGTATTTTTATTCATCAGGACTTGATGCATCCAAGTATAGGATCATTCGGTTTTGGCACCTTTAAAGATTTCATTTTCAATTTAAACAACACATTAAAAATCAAAAAATAAACCAAAAGAAATGGCTAAGGCTGTGTGAGTTTTAAAAAACAAAAACCAATACAGACATTTTTGTATATATTCAGAAAGAAATTCAGCCAAACTGTTTTTTTAAAAAAAGCAGTTTTGTTCGATGTAAATCGTTTGGTTCGTCTCACAAATGTAATGAGATCAAATAAACTAAAAAAAAAAAGAATAAAACACACATGAAAACATTATTATTTAAAACTCTAGCGCCTTTTCCCCCTTATAATTATTAACTTTAAAACTTAAGTTTCTCAAGAGCAGATCTGCTGTAATTTTATAGCATGCATTAAATTTCTGAAACTTTGAGTCTCTTAGCGTTTTCTTCTTCTATTTCATGTTTAACTCGTTTTTTATTCTGTGTTTGGCGTCCTCTTCTTTTTCTTCCTCTCTGCTCCTTTCATTTTGTATTTTGTAGAAGTTTTTGGAGTCTTTGACTCTTTTACTCTGCCTTTTTTTTTTCCCTCAGGGGTCCTGCGCTCGCGTTATGAACCCCCTCCCTCCTCCGAGAAAAGAAAGGGAACAGAGATTGAGAAAAAGAGGAGAAGGTTCTATTGAAAGAATAAATATTACTCTACTGTTGACCGTGTGCCTCCAGTGGCGTCAGTCGCTGCGACCTAAAGAACCTTCTCTTGTTCTTGACCTTCGAATGAAGAGATACAAAAAGTCTTTTCTCGTGTTTTCAGCAGCACTTGGTAGAGTTTTCTCTTTTTTTGCTTCAGTAAAGTCTGTTATTAATCGATTATTAATGTAATAATTTATTTATAAAAGTAATACATATATATATAGTACCTTTGTTAGAGATTACAGATTGGGGTACTTCTTACTGAATCCCAAGCTGTAACAATTCACAGTTTTAATGCAAAAAAAAAAAAAAAAAGAACAAATGAGTCAATAAATAAAAGAGGTGTTTATCTGAGTGAGGTGGCTAAAGGGAAGTTAGACCTGTTGCTCCAACAGAACTTGTGGGGCAAAACTGTCAAACCGATGGGCAATGAAAACATGGAGTCTTAGAAATGCCCGCCCCCTTTCACCCCCGCTTCAGAGCCCTGAACCTCATGAACAAATTCTGCCCCGCCCCAATGACAGCTCTCCCTCTGGACAGAGAACCCGAGCCGTTCTCAGTCCTCTGCTGGTGGCTTCAGGAACACAGCAGACTTGTTGAAACTCTCTCAACAATGGTTATGGAAAAGTCATGCAGCCGAACAAAAGGAATAAACGTCTATAAACATGAAAATATCTCCAGGGGGCGTTAACGCTCCCACAGCGGTTCCTGTGTCTCCTGACCTCCGCCGGGCCTTGCCGGGCCTGTGTGGACGTTCTCATACAGGTGTGGTGCGGCGGTTCGCTGTGTTGGTGTGGCTCGAGTCTTTCAGGTCTTTCTGGATGCAGTTGTGGACTTGGAGGAAGTTGTGGTCCCTCTCGGAGTTGTAGGTGGCGGTGGGCGTGCCGGAGGACTTCAGGGTGTCCCGGGGGAGCGTGTACATTGAGATCTCCGTGGACGGCAGCGCGCTGAAACCCTTCAGGCCCACCGGCGAGGTGTCGCGGGAATGCGACGGGTCCGTGGATCGGGAAGAGGAGCGCGAGCGGCGCCTGTAGCGGTAGCGATAGCTGGGGATCCGCGTTATGGCAGAACCTTGGAGGTAGTCGGCTGCGCGCGCCCCTATTCGCAGCTGTCGATGGCGGTCGATGAACATGTGCACGGCCAGGACGCCCACCATTTCAGCCATGATGAAAGATAGGGCACCGAAATAGAAGGACCAGCCGTACGAGTAGCTGTTCTTCTTTGAGTCGCTTTTTGAAGGGTCCCCCGCGTTGGCTGATATGTACACMATGATCCCAATGATGTTGCTCAGACCTGTTGGGTTGATGTTGATGTTGYGCGGGCAGCATTCAAGAGAAGAGAGATATTTGTTTGTGATGATCCGAGGGAAGATGAAGAAAAAGGACAAAAAGACAACATATTAGTTGAACAGAAATCATGACTTTCTTCGACAACTTATTTGGAACAGCAAATCTAATATTCTGAGTACTGATGGGCATTAATCGATGAATCTTTACCGCCACAGCTAAGTCATGGCCGTCATCTTGCTAGGTGCTACACCTGTCATTGTACTGTTTATACAGTATGTTAAAGCTAGACACGTGGTTTGAGATGGATGCTCTGCCAACAATGCAAAATGACACAAATAGTCCAATTTTGCTTAAAATTAACAAATGGGATAAAAATATAATGTCTCCCGCAAAATCCAGCCAAACATAGGCTGTGTCCAAATAGACCYTTTTGTAGTTAGAAATGATCACAAACGTGCATGCGCGAAGAGGGCCTATCTCACGTTTAGAGAAAGTTTATCTGGAAAAAGCTGAGGTTGCTGTGGCACAAATTCAACAGATACATTTACACCYTTATACTGACCCAATGTATTTGCTCTAAACWAATTTGTGTTAAACTTTCCTTTAGGATCATAGATGTGATTTTTTTWTAAARATCCAAARYTGCTTTTTGAGCTTATTGAGTTTGCATAATTRAAATAGCGTTTTCATATTGCAGCTCAGGAAAGCTAGGTTTCGCTATACACATTTTTAACTACGAAATAGTCTATTTAGGAGCTGCGTCCTCCGAAGGCCGAATTTGTCGGCCGCTTACGTCACAGCAGCTGTGTCTGAATTCAAGGGCTGGGTRCTTCAAAGGACCAGGGCTACCCGATCTAGGTGGGCGGGGTCATTGGTCGACTGCAAAAACCAGAAAAAAGTGGCTGTGAATTTGGACGYTCTAGTCTTCTGCTTTARTCARGTCCTGACCCCGGCGTATGTCCTGTCTCCTAGCAAATGTGACGACGATAAATAGAAGCAAAAATAGATCAAAATTAGCAAATTATCAATATACTAGTATAATAAAACAACAAAATTAGCTTAAAGGCTATATTTAAAGAACTAAWGGACCTGCTGTTGGTGCATATTTATTTCTCTACACCAGATTTCTGACAAGAATAAAATTTAAAAACATGCCTGTGCAAATGATAAAAGCATTAATAAGACAACCACTTGAAACTTTTGATTTTTATACCTTCATATTTTTATTTAAAACTGTACTCTTTCTCTCACTTCGTCCACCATTGTGGGGAAAAAAAAATCTCCAGTCGGCCCGCAGCGCATTATGGGACAGGGTGGGCCGAGTAGGATCCCTCGGACCCGTCCCTCAAATTGGGGCAAAAGGAGGACGCATTTGTGGGCTGCATTGTAGGAGTCTTAAAATTTGGAAAGCCTCCAGCTTGGRGTTGTGACGTAACAAATTCGGCCTTTGTTGGACTCAGCCCCTGAATTTAGACACAGCCAGAGCCACGCCGGAGGCTGTCCAAATTCAAAGACTCCTCCGATGTGGCCGACAAATGTGTCCTCCTTTATCCCTGATTTGAGGGACGTGTCCCTCGAAGGACCCCAGCCCCTGGATTTGGACACAGCACAGACTCTCTTACTCCCCCTCCTTTACTTCCCGGTGTTTGACTTACCTGCAGACACAAAGAAGATCCCTGCACTGAGGATTATGTTGTGGCGTGACTTGTAGAACTCACTGGCAGCTATACACAAGCCTCCCATGAAGAGCAGGATGACGCTGAGGATGGGAAAGATGCTGGAGGCTCGTACCGCACCTGGAAGCCAGCAGAGGACACGGGTGAGGCAAAAACAGGACAGAAAGACGTGACAGCCGACGGGACGGAGTGAAAAACAGATCCATTACAGCATCTGGCTCTTGTGGGTGAGCAAATCCTAATCAACACCCCGTCAGGCCTGTGAAAGACTCCATCAGCACTGGTGAGCATGTATCCCCACAGCGAGCATGTTACCCAGCTTTATGTGATCCCAGTGCATAGACTTAAATATAAAGATCACTAGATTGAGCCCCGCCCATACCGTCCACTGGTAGTGTCTGTGACATCATGGAGGAGCAGAAACAGACCAAACAGGACAACAGCTCACAGCCTCCATACAAACTAACAGATAAACAGCAGCTGAACTGGATCTGTTTCACAGATTATCTGTCATGTTTTTACAATAAAATAATAATTATGTTAATTTCATTCAACAATCATGTAAAACAGCAGATTTATACCAGAAAAAAAATATAATTTACAGTATAAGTAACAATGATCTAAACCAGACCTGAAGTCAGCCTGTAACTTATTTTAGCTAGTTGAAAAACGATAACTTCAGCTAGTAAAGTATATTTATTATTTCTTCTTACTGTCATAAAAACTAAGAATATTTATATTTACCAGTCAACGGTTAGAAAATGTTCTCTGGTTATAGGATGAAACTTGTCTCTATTAGCTAACATCTTCTTAACAGGTCAGGTTCCTCTAACAGAAACCTAAAAATACTCACATTTATAATATTATTTTACACTCTGTACGTCTAAATATTAATCAGATATTTATAATATTATTTTACACTCTGTAGGTCTAAATATTAATCAGACATTTATAATATTATTTTACACTCTGTAGGTCTAAATATTAATCAGACATTTATAATATTATTTTACACTCTGTAGGTCTAAATATTAATCAGAGGACAAAGTAATATTTAATAGTTTGTGTTAAATTGTAACATGATTCAACAGAGCTAAACTCTGTATAAATGCTCCACAAGCTAATATCTGCTAACCAGCTCAATAAATAACTGATTACATGGACTTTATAAGATTATTTTAATTTTAAACTGTTACATTATGTTCTGCTCAGATCACATTGAGCTAAATAAGATCAAATCTGCTGACTTGTTGTAAAATGAGACGTTTTCCTGTTTATCTTCTGTTAATAAATCCATAACACAAACAGCTTTTCTGACATTTAAAACATTAGATAGATTATATAAACTGTAAAATATTAATAATAATTGGATTAATATTATTATTAATAGTTTTAATGATTTCTACATCGTCAGTCCTTTTTTCTGCTCTGTTGTCAACATGTACAGTAGCAGGAAATCCAAACTCTTGCCCGTTTAGCGTTAGCTGTTAGCTTCACCAGCTGATCACACGGTCACGTGGTTTCTGCGTACTCRAGTTCTATAGAACCTCCTGGTCCCAGTGTTAGACTCTCCTTCACTCTGACATRGGCTGATCATCGATGMTTGCTTTGAGTACCTTCATGTGCAAAACCYTCAACAAAAAGTGCTTCAAGGCTCTTGGCATGTATATGAGCCAGACTGCAGTGCAGAGAAACACTGCCGGTGTCCTTGAAACAAAACAGCCTTCTCACAGCCAATTATCAAGAAGCAGGAACTAGAAGTGGGGTATTGATGTAGCTTTAGAGGTCAAGCCAGGGTCAGAGGAGGGCTGCGCCGCTTCCTGAGGTGTCAGGTAAAATTAGAGTCCCAAAGTTTGAGTAGCAGACCATGGTTTGAGTCATGCTGGAAAATAACTACGAGAAAGTGTCCCATAGGGTCACCTCCTGCCATCCTTCTGACTCCTTCCTGTTTAACATGCATACTTAAACTTTCATCAGGCTGGTTAAATTTTCACCACTTCACCTCATCTCCCCGTATTCGTGCCGCCTCAGCACTTTTCTCACTTTCTCCCCAAAGTGCTGACACCGGGCTGGGTGGCTCACCGCTGAACTTGGCTGCCTCCGCGGGGATCAGCTGGGGGTCCCAGAGGCCCATCTGCCTGCCTACCTGCTAACATTCATCACCGCTCCACCCCCCCCCTCACCGTTGCTCTTTATCCTGGATTCGTTTATCCCGAGGACCCAAAGGCTTTGTGGCGACTGGACGGTTCGGTAGGAAAGTCACCCTGAGCCCAGAGGAGGGCTGACAGGCAGCAGTTAACAGCTGCCGTGTGGAGGGGAAGCCACAGCTGGCTGGATGCTTACTCCCTACTGGGCCCCTGACCGTTAACAAGACGTGGGACCAATGATACTTGGTGTGTTTTCATTCATTCATACATCAATTTATCAACAATTTTCTGATTTCCAGATATGCACGACCAAATCTGCTAAAGCTAGCAGAAAATCTCAAGTGACAATTTTAAATGACTAAAACGGATATTCTTGACACGACGGAGTTTTGCATGATAGAGCTTTAGGTAACCTTTGTGAATGGCGAATTGTGGGGAACTGTGTCTCCAGACAAGGATTTGAACAGAACCAGACCAGCAACAAGTGTACATCACTGTGTGCAACATCAATCAATTACTCTTAAAGTGCCTGTGATGTTTGTATCCTTCAAATACAGAAAGTCAAATAAAACAACTTTATATTTGTCGTGGCAAGTTTACCAAGAATGCAGAAACACGTTGGAATGCACAGAAAGTTTGCGTATATGGTCGTCAAATGACTTCATCTTGAGCAACAACAAACAGAAGTCAATCTGGAAGTCTGTCAGGTTGTGGCTGACTCGTCAGCGGAAGCAGCCAATAATATAACATCATGTTAACACCATGTGACAGTTTACAACCAATCACAGTCTGACGAATGTAACTGCCTAACCAGTAACAGGGCTCTCAGCCCAAAGAGTTACCTTATCAAAAACAAGAGAAGTCGTGCGTTGCTGGAGTCTTAACGTCTGGGGCAAACAGATTAACAGCCGAAAAAAGTTATCATAAGATATATGAGTACTGGACAGCGTCAAGGTGAAACAGATATAAATAATTAATTAGTCCATTACAATATTTAAGAAACTTTGCATAATACACATGATTTTACTAATTTTGTCACATAAAATGCATATTTTCTTTTGAATTTGGTTCAGCTAAAGTGAAACAAGAAGTGACATAAAAGGGTTTAAGAAAGACAACTCTGGTCTTTATTGAAACAATATTTAAACTTTAACTGTTCTTCATCTCTCTGATGGTGACTCAAAATAATAAAAAAACATCAGATTCTTCTCTACAGTCTGTATTAGCTGTTGTAGCAACGCTCTGTTTACATTCAGACATTCCCGTTTGACATCACTTCCTGTTTCTTCACATGCAAATATCTCAACTGTCCATCTCAGCAGTGTGACATTAGTTTTACAATATGTTATTAATGTTATCTTTCCAAAAATGTTTTCATATAATTACAAAAATTTGATGTCACAGGCACTTTAACGTAGAAAAATAGATGTCCAGCTTGCCTTCTGTTGTACGAACATCTGAAGATATATTCTAGCAACTCTGTCTTCTTTTAATAGATTCATGCATCATCAGATCCAGCACATACAGTGGTTTGCAAAAGTATTCATACCCCTTGAACTTTTCCATATTTTMTCACATTACAACCACAAACATAAATATATTTCACTGGAATTTAATGTGAAAGACCAACACAAAGTGGTATACAATTGTGAAGTGGAAGCAAAATTTTACATGAATCAAAACATTTTTTACAAATAAAAAACTGAAAAGTGCGACGTGCAAAAGTATTCAGCCCCCTTTTCCCTGAGTGCAACCAATTGCATTCAGAAGTTGCCTGATGACTGCTAATGACTCAAAAGGGTCCACCTGTGTGTAATCTAATCTCAGTACAAATACAGCTGCTCCGTGACGGCCTCAGATGTTGGTTAAGAGAACATTGGGGAGCAAACAGCATCATGAAGTCCAAAGAACACACCAGACAGGTTAGGAATATGGTTTTGGAGAAGTTTAAAGCAGGCTTAGGTTATAAAAAGATTTCCCAAGCTTTGAACATCTCACGGAGCACTGTTCAATCCATCATCCGGAAATGGAAAGAGTATGGCACCACAGTAAACCTGCCAAGACAAGGCCGTCCACCTAAACTTACAGGCCGAACAAGGAGATCACTGATCAGAGAGGCAGCCAAGAGGCCCATGGTGACTCTGGATGAAATGCAGAGAGCCACAGCTCAGGTGGGGGAAACTGTCCACAGGACAACAATTAGTCGTGCACTACACAAATGTGGTCTTTATGGAAGAGTGGCAAGGAGAAAGCCATTGTTAAAAGAAAACCATAAGAAGTCCCGTTTGCAGTTTGCCAGAAGCCATGTTGAGGACACAGCAAACATGTGGAAGAAGGTGCTTTGGTCAGACGAGACCAAAATTGAACTTTTTGGCCACAATGCAAAACACTATGTGTGGTGGAGAAAGAACACTGCACACCACTCTGAAAACACCATCCCCACTGTCAAATATGGTGGTGGCAGCATCATGCTCTGGGGGTGCTTCTCTTCAGCAGGGACCGGGAAGTTGGTCAAAGTTGATGGGAAGATGGATGGAGCCAAATACAGGGCAATCTTGGAAGAAAACCTGTTGGAGTCAGCAAAAGATTTGAGACTGGGGCGGAGGTTCACCTTCCAGCAGGACAACGACCCTAAACGTAAAGCCAAAGCTACAATGGAGTGGTTTAAAAAAAAGAATATTCATGTGTTAGAATGGCCCAGTCAAAGTCCAGACCTAAACCCAATTGAGAATTTGTGGCAAGATCTCAAAACTGCTGTTCACAAACGCTCTCCATCCAATCTGACTGAGCTTGAGCTGTTTTGCAAGGAGGAATGGGCAAGAATTGCAGTCACTAGATGTGCAAAGCTGGTGGAGACATACCCTAAAAGACTTGCAGCTGTAATTGCAGCAAAAGGTGGCTCCACAAAGTATTGACTCAGGGGGGCTGAATAATTTTGCACATCGCACTTTTCAGTTTTTTATTTGTAAAAAA